ATGATTCCCTCACAAAGTGGCACTGGAAATCTGTGAAATTTCCTCATCAACACCAGGAACAGAAACATTGCAAATCCCATCTACATGCATAGGAGCCAAAATGATCAATAAATTGATCGTGGGCCCTTAAGATATAGAAGAAGAAGAAGAAAAACGCACAATGCCGTCCTTTCAGAGGGTTTCTTACCCCAACATTGTTTCCGTCCACGTCCCAAATTTGCCATCCGGCGCACTTGCTCTGCTTGCGCCTCCCCACCCCGATCACATCCTGAAATTCTCTTCTCCCAACTCTTCCCCTACACCACCTAGCACCTTTCACCTACACCACATCACACCTTTCACCTACACCACATAGCACCTTTCACCTACACCACCTAGCACCTTTCACCTACACCACATCACACCTTTCACCTACACCACATAGCACCTTTCACCTACACCACATCATATCTTTCACCTACACCACCTAGCACCTGTCACCTACACCACATCACACCTTTCACCTACACCACCTAGCACCTTTCACCTACACCACATCACACCTTTCACCTACACCACCTAGCACCTTTCACCTACACCACATCACACCTTTCACCTACACCACATAGCACCTTTCACCTACACCACATCATATCTTTCACCTACACCACATAGCACTACACCGTGTCAAACGTTTCCCTAAACCTCCTACAACACATCAAATCTTTCACCTACACCACATCACACCTTTCACCTACACCACATCACGTCTTTCACCTACACCACATAACATCTTTCATCTACACCAAATCACACCTTTCACCTACACCACATCATACCTCTCACCTACACCACATCTCACCTTTCACCTACACCACATCTCACCTTTCACCTACACCACATCACACCTTTCTCCTACACCACATCATATCTTTCACCTACACCACATAACATCTTTTATCTACACCACATCAGACCTTTCACCTACACCACATCACACCTTTCACCTACACCACATCACACCTACACCACATCACACCTTTCACCTACACCACATCACACCCTTCACATACACCATCACACCCTTCACATACACCATCTCGCCATGTTTCCTTGACTCGCCACCTCACCCTCCCACTTACGATTCCCCCCCTCCCCACCCGCTCACACACTGGCACTGACTGGCACAACTTGGCAATACAAGCGTGAATATGTGCTTGCTCTGCATTATTACTTGTGATGCTAGCACACCTCCATAACAGAGTAAAATCTAGCCACAAATAATAATAATAACAATAAAAATAATTTTATTTTTTTAAAAGAAACAGCAAAAGACTTTTTAAAAAAAAATTAATTAACATCAGTCCTAGTTAAAAAAAAAAAACGATAAACAAACTCATTAATCATTTGTAAATCTATTAGTATCTTATATAAACATCATTACGAAATAGCACTGATATATTAACGAAAGACAACAAATTTACGCATTTCCAAGACAGTGGTACATTTTTTTATAATTTATTTTTTATCACTTGGCGTTCAAGTTTTGTGGCGTGCACCAGTTGTTTTTGTTTTTGTTTTTTTGTGTTTGTTTGGTTTTTTTGTTTGGTTTTTTGTTGGCAGTATAACTTTTGTAGTTGGGCCTGAAGAAATCTAAGGGTTAACATTGGGGAAAGTCAGTTCCGTGTGCAATATGACAATGTTGCTTAGAGAGTTCTGCTACCTGTTTGAAAATTAACTTGCGCGCTGTGCGAGGGAGGAGGTGGTTCGCCGCGTTAACCTTTGGGCGGCGGGCCGGTGCCGTCGGAAGCGAGTGTATGTTCTTTATTGTCCTATTTATATGCAGAGGTGGGGGTTGAATGGATGGCCTCGCCTGAAATGCCTTCTACCTGTGGATTAGTTCATAAACATTTATTAAAGCGAAAAGTGTATTAAATATGCTCACATTTATGTATAACTCAGCAGGAACACCCCCCTCCCCCTTTTTTTTTTCTTGATTAAGGCGATAGGAAAATACAAGACGGGTTGGGATGTTATAGATTGGGCTTGTATATGACTATAAAATATGTGTGAAATTCAAATTCACAAGAGGGGGGGGGGTGACTTAGCCGCCACCCGCACCCAGCAGTCGGTGAGTTTCAAAAGTTGGAGATAAAAAAAAAAATCAACAACAGTGAATAGGAGGAAGCACAAACTGCACGCAAAACCCAAGGTGAAGGTCAGCCTACGACGTCTACGTGTGCTGCAATCGTCAGGTTTGATATATCACCGGCCACCACTGAAATCCATTTTTCCCGAAATTCCGACTTAACGTTCGACCGAATAATGAAACCTGTTCTGCTAATGAAACCTGTTCTCCTGATGAAACCTGTTGTCCTAATGAAACCTGTTCTCCTGATGAAACCTGTTGTCCTAATGAAACCTGTTGTCCTAATGAAACCTGTTCTCCTGTGAAACCTGTTCTCCTGATGAAACTTGTTGTCCAAATGAAACCTGTTCTCCTGATGAAACCTGTTATCCTGATGAAACCTGTTATCCTGATGAAACCTGTTGTCCAAATGAAACCTGTTCTCCTGATGAAACCTGTTCTCCTAATGAAACCTGTTATCCTGATGAAACCTGTTATCCTGATGAAACCTGTTGTCCAAATGAAACCTGTTCTCCTGATGAAACCTGTTCTCTTAATGAAACCTGTTATCCTGATGAAACCTGTTATCCAGATGAAACCTGTTGTCCAAATGAAACCTGTTCTCCTGATGAAACCTGTTATCCTGATGAAACCTGTTATCCTGATGAAACCTGTTATCCTGATGAAACCTGTTGTCCTAATGAAACCTGTTCTCCTAATGAAACCTGTTATCCTGATGAAACCTGTTATCCTGATGAAACCTGTTGTCCAAATGAAACCTGTTCTCCTGATGAAACCTGTTCTCATAATGAAACCTGTTATCCTGATGAAACCTGTTATCCTGATGAAACCTGTTCTCCTAATGAAACCTGTTCTCCTAATGAAACCTGTTATCCTGATGAAACCTGTTGTCCTAATGAAACCTGTTCTCCTCAGCCAACTGCGTGCAGACGATGTTTCCCATTCTGGTCCAGTGGCGCGCTTCGGCCTAAATTCTATTTTTAGACGGTATTCGAACCCTTATTTTTTTCTTGATAATCGAACTCACTAATCTAAACCTTTTAGACCCTGGTCTAAACGATTCCCCGAGTCCCCTACTTAGGATAAAAAAAACATAAACTATTATGCGTTAACATAGATAAAAAAAATGAAAGAACATAATGGCACATAATATAACACTAAAGAATTGGAGCTCAATGTTTTTCAAGACCAGTGGTCGCAAATCTTGGTGTGGTACAGTGGTCGGCAACATTGGTGTAATACAGTGGTCGGAAACATTGGTGTGGTACAGTTGTCAGAAATCTTGGTGTCGTACAGTTGTCGGAAACCTTGGTGTTTTACAGTGGTAAAAAAATCTTGGTATGGTACAGTGGTCGGAAACATTGGTGTGGTACAGTGGTCGGAAACATTGGTGTGGTACATGATCAGAAATTTTGATGTGGTACAGTTTTCGGAAACCTTGGTGTGCTACAGTGGTCGGAAACATTTATGTGGTACAGAGGTCGGAAACATTGGTGTGGTACATGATCAGACATTTTGGTGCGGTACAGTTTTCGGAAACCTTCGTGTGGTACAGTGGTCGGCAACATTGGTGTGGTACAGTGGTCGGAAACCTTAGTGTGGTACAGTGGTCGGCAAAATTGGTGTGGTACAGTGGTCGGCAATCTTGGTGTGGTACAGTGGTCGGAAATCTTGGTGTGGTACAGTGGTCGGAAATCTTGATGTGGTACAGTGGTCGGAAATCACAACTCTTTGAAGACGCGAATTTTAAAATAATAAGAGAATACTTATTTCTAATGATTTATAACAAAACCATCATAGTGGATGCCAAATATTTGCGTAGTATATACGATTTATAAAAATGGCCCTTCATTCTAAAAATTATTTAAAATGCATTTATTGTAGGCCTTATTTACAGAAATGTTACAGTGACAGTCAGGGTTTCTTTCCGCTATATCTCCGGGNTGGAGTTAGCCAGTTAAAGTGGAGGTGGCCAGTTAGGGTGGAGTCAGCCTGTTAGTGTGGAGGTGGCCGGTTAGGGTAGAGTTAGCCAGTTAGCGACAGACAGACATTTAACACGATTTAACATCCCTAGAATGGTGTCAGTCATTAGGAAGTTGAGAACCAACCAAAATATCAACACCACACAGACCTCCACATGGCACGTGCTGGAATTTCCGCAAGAAAAAAAGAAGTGTTTTTAATTTTTTTATTTTTTTTGCTGGGCATATGACCTCATTTTACAACAATGATCTGGTATCGGTAAAAAAATGGGGGGGGGGGAAGGGGGGTATATCATTACAAAGATTAAATCAGTAAATACACAGACCTGGCCGCTTCAGATAACCCTTAACAAATGTTGCATCTTAATCATGTGGAGTAGTTAGGTCTAGTGCCACCCGGGGCGGATCGAGAATTATGCCGCCCCCTTCATAAAAAATAAAAAAAACAACTCTTTAGTTTGCCGAAAATGCCGCCCATCCACAGATTAAAAAAAAATAGTGCCGTTCGGGGAAGTCCGCCCCCTCCGCACCCCGCCCCTTTTCCTACTCCACTGCTTCCCGTTTGTCTCGATTCTATTGATTGACATTTGTCAGGAGATAGGCGTCGGGTCCATGAGGGAGATCCGTACACATTGAAATATAGGTCAACATCCCGTGAGGCATTGGATGACCAAACCTGGTCACCTTCATCTCACGAACCATAACGTACCAGCCTTGAACTTCCAATGTTATCTGCAACACATACAGGATACTACTATCTTAAACACACATATTTGGTTGAAGTATGTCAAAAGAATGTCTCATCTCGTAACTAGGTCATCACTGCTGGTATCGTCAACGAGGATGTTGATTTGGTCAAGCCTGTCTTATACACTGTTATGCAGGTCGTGATTTAATTCACTCGGTATAAGGGGGCTGGGATGGTCGGCCTGCTATTGTTGACAGAATCTCCTGGGATGTACACATGCGAAAAGGGTGTGTGTGTGTGTGGGGGGGGGGGGGTGCTGCGAATCTATGAACTTGTGCTAATCAAAAGGTAAGGCCCCAGTCAGATCGATAATCGCGAGAGATATCGATAATCAATATCTTTCTAAGACAAGCTGCTGACTGCCCTAACGGGGAAGTTGCCTCAAACTGAATCACGGAGATCGCGTGTGCCCGGATCTCTGCCAACGGTGTGTGTGCTACGCGTACTACGCTTACGCCTTCATCGATCGGTGTGGCAGTTCTCAAATTGAACTGAAGGACTTCAATTCAGATTAATTTTCTGGAGACTGCATTCAATCTGTGTGATGAGATTAATACTGTAGAGTATTCATTAAATAGTGTTGAGAAGCCCCAGTAACTCAACACGGTGAATATGCCAAATTTTCTGGTGAAAAATATAAATATTAAGCATTTGGTTTAGCAATGTTCAGATTGGGAGGCTACCGGGGACTGGTTCACACAACTGGAACAACATATCAAGTTATCACTTAGCATCAGAAATTTTATCATTTTTTAAAATTTTAACGTATTTAAATGTTGGTTAGAATTCCACCTGTCTTTGAATATTTCCAAATTATGCTCCTGGTAAAAAAAAATAAAATTGATAGGGGTTCTAAAAATCCTCTAACAGTAGACTTATCGATCCCTGGGGCCCCATGCATGATAATCTCATTTGGTCGGGAGAAAATATGGTGTGAGATGCACCGGATCGATGGTCGATAGAACAACATGGCTGACCTGAACCATTGCAACGGAAATTCCCAATGTGAGTGAGAGAGAGAGAGAGAGAGAGAGAGAGAGAGAGAGAGAGAGAGAGAGAGAGAGAGAGGGAGAGAGTATATGTGTGTGTAAAAAAAAAAAAAATACAGAGGGGGAGAGTGGGAAGACTTTTTATTATAGAAATGAGAGAGAGAGAGAGAGAGAGAGAGAGAGAGAGAGAGAGAGAGAGAGAGAGAGAGAGAGAGAGAGAGGGGGAGAATCTAAGTGTGTGTAATTAAAAAAAAAATACGGAGTCGGCAAGTGGGAAGACTTTTTATTTTAGAAACAAAAAAGGTCAGATCTCAAACTTCAGTCACGTGATGAATATTTTAACCAATAGGCCTACGTTAAAGCGCTGCCAAGGGGCGTAGTCTAAAGTAACCGTCCATGTGCGTCGTCTTTATAAACCGATTTCAAGTGCGTTACATTTTTTTGTATAACGACGCATTTGAGTTAACTAATATCAGAGACGAGGGAATGGCCGGTCCAGAGACAGTCCGTGGTGGGCCTACCAGTAGATCGCTGTTATCGTGATGGTGTACAGTGTACACTCTGCCTATTGGTCAAACAATGCAACTGTTGTACACCGGGCTTAGGCCTTCAGCGAAGAAGACCAAAAAACTAGCCTTTAAGGCTTGGTTTATTTTGAATGTATATGTTGTGGACGTTAAAAAAATGTGTGTGAGTGTGGGGAGAGGGGGGAGTGAGAGAGAGAAAGAGGGGGTGGGGGAGAGAAAAGTTCGCAGGTGTAGCTTACCTTTGAAATTGTACTGTCCACACTCAACACCTCGATGGCCATTGATGTACCTGGTATTGCTTACTATTACTACTGAAGATATTATATAATATTAATAATATAGGCTTATACTTCTCGTGTGTGCTGAAAATACCATCTTGTGCAATTTACATCATATATATATATAAATATATATATATATATATAAGAGATATATATATATATATATATATATATATATATATATAGAGAGAGAGAGAGAGAGAGAGAGAGAGAGAAAGAGAGACAAAGAGAGAGAGAGAGAAAAAAAAAAAAGAGACAGAGAGAGATATATATATATATATATAAAAGATATATATATATATATATATATATATATATATATATAGAGAGAGAGAGAGAGAGAGAGGTAGAGAGAAAGAGAGACAAAGAGAGGGCGATTGAAAAAAAAAAGAGAGACAGACAGAGAGAGAGAGAAACAGCTTGGTGAACTAAAATATGGTGGGGAATTGTGACCTACATAAACAAATAAAATACATCTGCTGTACAATGTAGGCCTGCATTACTTATTGTTAATTTGCCCCATGTAACTATTGGAAAGAGGGGGGTGCATTGTTAATTAATTCCATCACCAAACTAAATGGACATTTTTCATAATAGGAAATTCCCATACAGTTTTGTGTCTATCGAAACTGAAAAGTTAAAAAATTACACTTTAGGCTTAGGCCCAGTGACGTCACTAGTGGTGTGGGCAGGGGCGTAGCTCGAGTGTGTTTGGGTGCCAAGATGCATTTTTACGGAAATGAGCGAAACAAAGTATATATTATGTAGGAAACCCTGATAAAGCGGACGCAACAAAACAACGAACGTGTCGACAGGGAGCCTTCGTCAGCGAACAAACAACAGTAAAAACAATGTAAGATAAAAATAAACTCTTAGCTGCCATGTGGTATCCGAGAGGACAGCGAGAGGAATGTGACAGCAAGAGAGATGTGGTAGAATGCCTGCCATTGTTGTCAATATGTTTACCCAACCCCCTTCAAATCCAAAAAACCCATCATTTGCACC